ACCGAGACGATTTCCTCAGCCAACTCGATTTGTCGACAACTTACATAGCCAAGTCAAAAGGCGGTACTTGTTGGCCAACCCACCAAATCGACTTGTACTTAGCCTATTGTTCAGCCGACAACTCATGTAGCCAAGTCAAAAGGCAGTGCTAGTCGGCCCTTGACCAAACAAATAGAGAAAATATAGTTATCTCAAAACCCTCACCAACTGACTGCCCTTGCATTAACTATTCTGACAAATCATCATTACTCTAGCCCTCATAGTCTTTATGACTCACTGGGCATAGTCAGCGCAAAGCACCCGTTATCGTTCCCTCATTATATGACTACATGACTCACCCTCTTCTATAGCCGACACTTGAAAGATGATTGTCGACTCAGGTGCCTAGCTGGACCCGGCCCAAGTCACCTCTTTGCCCTTCAAATCCACTATAAAAGGGAGCAGCATTGCATAGGGTAAAGACAGGTTTTTTCATGCAACTTTGAATTATTCTCTCTCTATATTTCCCACTCAAGATCAATTACTGACTTGATCGCCGGAGGAACAACCGAGGATCCCAACTCCGTCCTCTTACGAGCTCTCTTTATGTGCAGGGAAGGACGGTAAACCACATAACCTACCATCTATAGGAGTTTGAGGATCTAACACTCTCATAATCCTCACACAAACCTCATGTTTGATAACTGACGTCAACAAATCCAGATGAGTATTCTTTCTCAAAGGGGACAAAGCTAGTAATGTTGCCTATGTCAATCAAAAGGACAATTTAAGAATGCATATCTTGAGAATAATTCCATAAATTGAAAAAAAAAGTAGTGCCACTTATGTCCTCTGAAGAGCTTTTTCCAAGTGATGAATATCTGAAATAAGCATCTTATGATTATTATCCTAGTCAGAGAGTAGTATTTGCCTAGTTATCATCCTTCAAATGCGAATATATATCTATTCTCAACATCAATTTCTTTCCAACATGGACGTAACGCCTCTAGGAAGAATCAAACAAGCTTTTAGAACTAGCTGACGTCAAGACTAAAGAGCCAGTGAAGCACGATTCCTACATAAATGAGATAATTTCCATCTATACAGGACTGAACAAATGTTGTAGTCAAAGTAGCTTGATTAATTAATTACAGGTAAAAAAAAAATTTAAAAAAATAATTACTGTTCTAGAGGAATCCATTCTAATTCTAGTTCTAGCTCTCCACTCTCCACATTCTGTAGTTGCAGGTGCACTTCTTGCTTCAGTTTTCCACCAACTACATTGATGGTACTGTCTTTTAAAAGCGCATTTTCCCTTGATTTCGACCATTTTCCAAACTGCATATCTGGAAGGGCCCCTAGGTCCCCGAGTTCTGTGGCAGCCGTGACCAGCAACTGGAGATTGACCTCGGCTTCACCCATTATGTCGTCGGCGGAGAACAAATCATGATCATACACTTGCTGATGAGAAACAGAGAATGAATCCGTTAATTTAAGGGGTTATTTTTCTTATAAAACCGGGTCTTGAAATTCTCGGAATCAGAATTGTTCTAACCCTAAAATTTCAAATTTGGTTGTTTGGTTGGACTGGAAGTTTGACTGTTTGAGACCCACTTTCCAGTTTCTCTCACGCAACAATTCCACGAAAAAGCAACAGGCTTCAGCCCTTACATGCCACCCAAACTATCAAATTCGTCTATGAATGAATTATTTTCGGATTTTCCTAACCCCCTAAACTATTAAATTTGTCCCCACTTACCTCCTGAACTATTTCGACCTCCACGTTACCCCGAACTATTTTTAGTTCCACCTTACCTTATAAACTATCACTTTCATCTCATAGGTCATAACTACGTACTGAAAGTAATAGTCGGGGACAAACAAGGATGAATTAATAGTTTAGAGGCGTGATGTGACCAAAAATAGTCCAATGAATAAGCATGGACGACTTTAATAGTTTAGAAGGTAAGTATGGACTAAAATAGTTCAGGGGGTTAAGCTAAGACAACTTTAATAGTTTAGAGGGCAAGTGAGATCTGAAGCCAAAATAATACAAATTTTTGATCGAGCATTTTGGTTCATGGTAGAGAAAAAAAATAAAAAATAAAAAGGAAAAGAGAAAGGTTGGTCCATGCATACTGACCAGTTTCAGGGCCCCACAACGCCGAGCAACCGACAGCTTAAGCTCCTCATTCCAAACTGGGTTCAAATTACTCTTGATTACTTTTGTGTGGACTTTCTGCAAAACCCATAAAATTAGCCAACCACTAGTTTTTCGCTGCAACTTTTGAGACAATAAAGGACAGCATGATCTAGAATAATAACCAACCTGCTCTCCAAGAAACAAAATGACATAAGGATCACTTGATCTAAAATCTCTGATAGCTAAATTAATGCCTCTTACTACTTTAACCTTCAAAGTTCCAATGAACTCCCCAATACTTTCCTGCGATTATGATTAAGGAATTGACTTAATTTGCTTACTGCCAAAACTTTCAATATATATGGTATGTGAGCCTAAGCCCTTAATTTGATAGTTTAAATGGAAAGGTGGCTCACTGTTCTCTTAAAACTGTCTGAACCAAAAAATTTGTCCATGTTCTTTCCAGAATCAGAACATCTGAAGGAGCTCTTTGAAGAGATCATTCGCAAACTTGGTTTCAAAAATTCTTGCAACTCATACTTGGACCTAAGAAACAAGAGAGTTGGCATGAGAAGTGAATTAAGTGATCTTATTACTTCAGTTACATGACATTTCAATATATTTCACCTGATAAAATTGGTCCTCTCCTCATTACTTGAGTCTGGTTTAGGCTTTGAGATTCCTTTAGGAAGATAAGCCTCATATATTGAATTGGCAGACGCATTACCCCCAACTTCAATCATAGCGTCAATTTCTTCATCGGACCATTCATCCAATGTCACAGACATAACCTGAGTAAGTTAAAAGCCGAACTAGAAGCGTGAGTATAAATTGGAGAAACCACCTAGATGTATTACTGGGAATTTTAAGTACAGCTCAAGTTATTTATGTAATTGTTAAGGAGAACTCCTAATAGCCAACTCGTGTTGTAGATTTCAGGCAACAGCTAGACTAAATTAATTGAATCAGGTTAGAGAAGTATTCATATGTATTATAATGAAGTATGGAACTTAGATTAATTCCTGCTCATCTTTAGATCAGTCATGTTTTGAAAAGAGTGCTAAATAACCAATAAAATTTTAAAACCTGAAGAAGTTTAGGAATAGTGTCCCGAGAAAACGGAGTAGATTCATATGTACAAGTTCTTTGTTTATGAGTTGTAACTGACATAATAAACCAAGGTATAAACAAAGAACACAATAAGATGTTGCATCATAAGAAATTATTAGCGATACATTACAGTATGTAAGGAATAAGTGAAAGGATCTGAAATAAGTGGAAGATAAATTGACTTGATGCTACCTTGGAGATGTGTGTACCAAGACTTGTATGAACAACAGAACATTTTAGGCATAAAAAGACCCCAATATTAGCCGACCTGTAAAGGCATAGAAGAATATATTCAAGGTTAAACATAATATAGAACGTGTATGACATCGTTGCATTTGCATCCATCCAAAAGATTTAATTACCACAGCAAAGAAAGAAATGGCATAAGAAATTGAGTTTTTATATGGGAAATGAGGGCGGCATAAGAAATTGACTTTTTATATGGGAAATGAGGGCCTAAGAGTAGTTTTACCGAAGGGTAGGTATAAAAAATAAAGGAAAGTACAATACGGTGTTGGATAACACCAGAAATCAACAAATCATGTTGATTTAATATGATGTCTGTCACTATAAAGCACTTCCCAGTAAGCATCCTATGTTTCGTCTCCTTCGAAATCAACCATAAGATCATTCAATTTATGATAAATTTGAAAAATAATAGAGTAGAAGATAACAATTTTCTCCAAAGAAAAACAAAAGAAAGAAGAGAAGGAAAAAAACTGAGTTTTTGCCTAATGCAGGGTACAGAGACTATATCTATACTAACGTAGAAGATTAATTGTTGGGCTATTCAATTTAAAGTACAAGAAAGTTGAACTCTCAAGAAGGGGCGGATATATTAAATTTGAGATTCTAGCACTTACGCCCATTTGGGATCTGGAGCACCACAATCTGCGCAGACGCAATTCTCTCTTTTAGAAAGTAACTCCTTCAGTTTCCTAGCATTACCTATTGATTTGGACATCATGAAAACTTAGTTAACAGGCATTTCCATGTTTAAAATCACATTATATGTTAATAGATGTTGACAATCGCTATAGCATCATAACTGCTAACCTTCCAAATAGCATAGACAACATATTATTTCTATTACAAAATAAGCATGGAAGAACCATCATCATGTGCTATATGGAAGTATTCAAATGGCGCAAGCTCAAATAGTTGTATCGATAGAGTGTAGATTCAATCTTCATGTGTACGTTTTGCCTATATTATCTTCTGGTTAGGTATGCTTATTGCTTAAGGACACTGTAGGACAATGAACCCAGTATCTCAGTGCAAGAGGATATGGGTAAGACTGGAGTCTAATGGAATAAAGTAAATGGAACCATAAGAATTAAAAAAAAAATTATAACATCTGATGTAAGGCACACAGCCCATGTTATTTTAAGCCTATGTTGGAAACATACCGTATGAGCAGTAAGCTTTGATTATTTCCTAAAATTACATAAGCTTAACGATGATACTTTGAAATGGTGCAACCTCTTTGAGAACAAATGGCATAAAATCTTTCATTAGTCCAAAAAGAAAACAGATTTAAGTAAATGAGAGGAGAAAAGATGACATGTGATGGGGAGGGTTTATAGGTGAGGCATTTGAGTACAAGATGTTCGAGCGTAACAAAAATCAAAACATGTGCATGCTATGCCAGCTAGGTTACCTTGAACAGGTTTTCTGTACTCATAGTAACGGTTGCTCATCTTTACCCCTGGATAATCCGTGACCATGCAACAATGCGTACCTTGACCTGTATATTCAGAATTAAGAAAAGGCCATTATAAGAAAATATGAGCACTTCTGCTACTCTGTTTTTCATAGTAAGGTTATGGAAGGCCGACAATAAGGATAAAAGGGGAAAGATATGAACAGGATCTTAATGTTAGTCAAAGCAAGTACCGGCATGTAATGAAAATTATATAGAAGCATAAATGTTTGAAAAGTGTACACAACATATACCATTTTGCACAGTGTTGATGAATGAGACCATAAGATAAAAATTTTGGTAACACATTAGTAGGTCGACAACTTTATCAGAAGAATTTCTCTGGCCGGTTTGATTCAAATAGAACGATGACTTTCCATACGTAGTCTTATGGCATAGTGAGACTGGAGGCTGAAGAAAGTTGTTGAATCTAAATTTTAGAAAGAGAAAAAAGTGATTTGCATCGAACCCGTGATAAATTTGGTCTCAGAACCATATAAAAAAAACCTACAATAAAACACTCTCAGGGATCTATTCTAACAAAGAAAAAGTTCAGGATGCTCTTCATCCATCAAACCTCCTCGAACACCTAATGTCGATTGCCTAAAAGAAATTTTCTAATCAGTTGGTGGAACATGGAGGTGTCATAATATCGTCACTAATTTTTTTGCATTCGCGTAGTCATAATTAGTTAGAGGGATAAAAATATCTGGATTATTCTTTTTTTTTGGAAGAATATAGATGAAATATTCTCATTTCAAGCTTACTCATCTCAAACTTTTCCCTAGACAATCTGTATAGAAGCAAGTGGAAACACCTAAGACATAACTCTCTACCATGAAAACTGGAAGTTATTTAAGAATCACATATTTCAAACCAGAAATTTCACCCTGGTTAAAGAGAAAAGTGGCGATTAGAATCTGTCGGCTTACTGAGCACAGATATGAAAGTCAAATATACAGACATGAAAATTTCCACGAGTCGTTCTAAAAGATTAACTATCATTTCACATTGAAGTTTCCGCGTCAATCAAATGCCATGAAACAAATTCAAAACTTTGAAAAGCCTTCTCCAATAGCTTCATGTGAGAGCCATTAAGGTATAAAACGCTAGAAAATAGTTCACTATTCAACGAAACCTAAATCTTCAGGCTAATTATTTATAGGTTTAAGCTAGAACTCAACCGAACGCAAAATTTATTTATTTTTCTCTATGGTTTTTATCAGAATGTTGAAAGGATCATGTAACTAAATCAATAGAAAACTTTTGCTTTGCTTGATAATTAAACAGAACCCAAATTGCATAAGATGCTTCATGGGAAATCTTTTCGAAGTCAATAAAAATGCTAAAAATACTTCAAAAACATTTCTTTTTCTCGAATGAACGCAGGTTTTCAATAACCCATTTGATATAATCGATCTTTATTCTTTCAATGAAATCCCAAAATAAGAAACCCAGAAAAAAAAAATCAAAACTAAATAAGTTATAATCCAAAAAAAATACCGACCTTATAAAAAACTTCTCAGATTACAAGAAGATAAAGAACTCTTCAACACCCAACTTGAAGATATCGCAACAGCGAGCAAAGAAATCACGAGAAAAGGTTGAAATTTATGAATGCAAAGAAGTTACCTGAAAACTTTGGATGAAAGGTTGGAGTCTGTTAGCGTGAACGGAGTTGTTTTGTTGTTTCCAACTAAAAAAAAGATGCTGCCACCTCTCAACTGAAAGCAACAACAGCCCATTTAAATATTGGCCGGCCCGATGACTTAGCATTTGCTAGCTAAGCTAATTATAGCCAAATTACGTAATTAGGCCATCATTTAATAATTGCCAAACTACCGATAATTGCTGGGCCCCACTTGACAGTGACACGATGAATATTTTGACCAGCTGAGGTTGCACGGGGAGCAGTTTTGACTTGACAGCTGTAGGTTGGTAACGGGTTTGAGGAAGCTCTCGCGAACCCGGCCCAGTTACAGTGACCATGAGAGAGGGTCAAAGAGATGAAAACACGGCACAACCGTTTTGACCAAATTATGCGACGCCGGTGTCTTTTTATAAACACGTGAAGATATATAGAAGAATAACTATTTTCACCCCTTAAATGTGATAATGTGAATAAATCATTTTATGAAACACTAAAACTAGTACGTGTGAATAAAATAATTAGGAGCCACATATGTAGGTGTGTATACGGCCCGAATATAGCTTGAATATCATATTCATACCCGATTATCAATCTCTAATGCATATATGAATATATATTAATAAGTAAAATTTGCATTCATATCCGTTAAAATACGACACTGATATGAATATGTATGCAAATATACATTTTGATAGGAAAACAGATATCCGAAAAATAAAATAATATTAAAGAAAATATTGTGCATGTATGTGACAAGAGAGTTTCTTAATATGTTTGTTATACCTTAAAAACTAGGATTAGATGTATTTATCATCAAATTTAACATCAAATCTATTAATTTGAGGATTACAATTATTACAACAATATAACCAATACATATTCAGATTTTCCGATACATGATCAGAATATTTTCACTACATAACCATAACTTTACCTTATATCAATTATAACTTAATAACCATGCCGGCATCTATTAATACGGATATTTTCTCATCCTAATGATATTTTAGCGCACCCTTACCCTCATGACGATGAACTCATTGGCAGTTATACATTACTTTGTTGGGCAAGGGGTGTTAACGGAACGGATACGGCTCGGATATGGCATTTACCATATCCATATCCGCTTACCCATCTCGGATACGGATACGGATACGGATACAGATATACGTCGGTAAGAAAAATTCATATCCATATCCGCCAAAATCGGATACGGTTATGGATATAGATGCGGATATATAAACGGATATGCATGTGGATACAAAAAGGATATGAGAAAACTAGATAGTATTTAGAAAAAATATAGTCATGTGATACAAAAAGAGTTCGTTAATATGTTCATTATGATTGAAAAGCTAAGATTAGACATCTTGATCATCAAAATTAACCACAAATTCATAATCTAAGAATCAAAACTATCGTAAGAGTATTACCAATATGTATTCGGATATTTTCGGATACGGATACGGATATTTCACAACAAAACCATATCCGCAACCATATCCTATCGGTAATAGATTTGATTAACCATATTCGTATCCTAACGGATACGGTTACAGATATTTCCTTGGATACGGATACGGTTTGGCACCCCTAGCAATGACGGGTGTCCTATATTAGCACTGCTAGTGAATATCTCCAGTTTTTCAGTATTCATCTTCTAACTAGTATTTAGACCCGTGCAAAGCACGGTTTTTTAAAAGATTTTCTATAAATATTGAACATGTTACGAAAATAAAAGTATTTTGCTTTAGATATGAAGTATAGTGTTGGAAGTGAATCGAATAATTAGAATACTTTCATCTGTGAAATACTAATTAGAAATTAAAAAATAAGCAAAAAATAATATCAAATTTTAATATTAGTCCCTTAAAAATTTTTAATATTTTGAAATTGGTTTCTCAAATCTTTTAAAAGTACAATGAAATTTCTCTCCCCCTCCAACATGAAATCCTCTCTGCTTTTGTTTTATAATATAATTTAGGAACACAAACCACATTGTTACATTTTTATAACTACCAATTTTATTTTTTTCAAATATAGATTAAGAGCATGCAGTCAAATAAATAAACCCGTAAGTTTTGCACGGATAAGTTTCGTAGGGGACGCATTAATCCTAGCATCTCCATTGCTTTGAGGCTAATCAATGCAGACAATCTTAAAAGAAGAGTTTTCCTTTAGCCAAGAAATGAAAATAATCACAGAGGCTCATATGGTGCATTATATAACAATGGAAAGTGTATTTCTACCTATGATGTGGTAACGCCACATTCGAGCTCCTATATACGCTGCAACTTTTGCACCCTACAAAAATATTTACATAGTCCCTACAAAAATAAAAATAAACCAAAAGAAAAATATAAGTTTAGAAATTCAAATTATTATTTTTTCTATATAAATTACAAATTTTAATGATTAGTATATCACCATTCTTTGATCATTTGGATCTAAGTCACACCATTCTTTGAGCATTAGTATATCACCAATTCTGAAAGTTGTCATTGAAAAATATAAGTTTAGAAATTCAAATTATTATTTTTTCCTTCTTGAGCATTTGGATTATTACGAATAATGATTAGTGACTCACTTCAGTACTCAACTAATTATAACACATCGTTACGAAGAAGCCAAGCTACATGAAATTTTTTCCTAATCATGTCAGCATAATTAGATATTGTCTTTGATTAATGGACGGTGTGAATCACCTCTAATGAATGAAGAAGTAGATTTTTTTCAACATAATGGTGACTTTCTACGGAAAGAAAAGCTAGTCAATTAATGCAGATACCCACTAAATGACTAATCATATCACTCTAAAAATTGGAAAATATAGCAATCGTTCACGTTTTTCCCACATTTTAGCGTCCATCAATTTATCAGCATGAGAATTTGTCAACATGCTGAAATATTCAGAGAAACAATCTTTACAAAGAAAAAGACTGAGACACTGCCTCCACCTCTTTCCTTTCTTCAGAACACACCCTTATAAAATTGTGACTACTACATACAGAAAAATATCTCAGTTGACAAATTTCCAAAAGAGCCTGCATGGTTAAATACTCTAATGACGAAACAAAATAATTGGATAGAAACAGATTTCGATAACACAAGGAACACAAATCGAATTGATAAATAATTAAAAACATCATCCATGTCTTAATCCGTTAAAATAGCAATAAACCCTAGAAACGAAAGACCTATTTTCTTTCAATCTCACTCTAAATATAGAAGGCGAACAAACGGATTTTAATAAAAACTGACCCCATGCATGTGAGAAGCTGCCGAATCCAAGAACAAACAGATCTAGCGAGAAGCATAGATCACCTAGCATCAATTTCTGCCAAAATTTTGCACAAAAATAGCAAAATATTTAGAAAAAAACTCAGATTTTAACGGTAATGGAATCAAGAAGATGAAAGTGATACCTTTACTCTTTGTTCGGGTAGACGGGTAGGCGGGTGGGTGAAAGGGGAAGAAAAGGAGGGGGGGGGGGG